TACTTTAACTATCAAATTGGCCAGCAACACCCGCACAGGTTTCACATTTAACAAGACTTATTTGGAATAACAAATATGAAAATAATAACATGTTTTTAACTTGTACGCTTATGACGCGCACTGACACGCATTATTTCAAGAAGACAATATGCAGCCTCAGTACCTTTTTGTATATGATAAACAAAAATAGAAATAAACTGAGCATATCCAAACATTGTGCGAAATAAACGGCACATTAAAATTTGCATGCAGGGCATACATAAAATTGCTTTATCAGGTTAAGAAATAGAAAAAACTGTAGTTTGATTTATTTATGGATTAATTTGCACTGGAATATAATCTGTAGATACTATAAAAACAAGACAACCAACAAATCAGTAGGTCACTCTCTGCCAGCAGATACAACACAGTGCTTTATGTCAGAAGACATTGAATAGCAAACACAATTATGACATACTTTGTAGGTTATATCTCACCTACATGCTGACAACATGCCATTATATGAGGCATCCAAGTAGCTAAATCCTTGGTTGGTCGTCTCACCTATGGCATATTTGAGAACTAATAAATCCAAAACCAATCTGTCTGGTGATTCTACTACCAAATGATCTTAGCTAGATATTGAGGGGTGTAATTCAATACTGTACGGGACTGTAGTCCGCAGAGTAGTTGTTTCCTACAATATCATTAGTTAAAAATTATTAGTGAGTATTTATTACCAAGTGTAATTTTTGTAAATGAAATTTTTCAATAGTAATACTCGCTTCATTTTCTATTTTAATTTCCCGCATATAATTTTAGTCCAGACAAAAAATCAGCCCGATGAACAGCCCACCGCTAAGCATTTTCTAGAAACACGAACTGAATAACCGCTATTTTCAAGTTGACACTCCCTGATATTCATTTGTTTATTTACCACAGCGTCCTGCACTTGTTCCCGTGGTCCGGTATCATCGACGATAACCAGGAGCTGAGCACTACGTTCAGGGTGCCCGACCTAAAAACGGGCCGGATGACCAGACTGATAACTCAGCTGTCGACGAAAGAGGAGGAGATGTTCCGGAACATGATCAGGAGGGTGAACACCATTGTCAAAGTGAGTGAAACAGCTTGATGCGGGAGTACCCCCTTTACCCTGTTCCGGCCTGTTTAGTGTGGTAGGCTTGTCTTAGTGAGAGAGTGTGCCGGTATGGGAGACGCTGCCGGGCCTGATGCCCCCTCACCCAGTAGGCCAGCGTCGCAAGACGCCCCGGCCTGACTAAGAGCAGACGTAGTTCGCCGGGTAATATGATGCTGACGTTTTCGTTGCAGGCAGCCCAGGAGATGGACGTGCGCATCATGGTGGATGCCGAACAAACCTACTTCCAGCCGGCCATCACGCGGATCACGTTGGAGTTCATGAGGAAGTACAACAAAGATAAAGCGATAGTCTTCAACACGTACCAGTGCTACCTTAGAAACGCCCTGTCAGAGGTGACAACCGATTTGGAACAGGCCAAACGTCAGAACTTCTTCTTCGGGGCAAAGCTCGTGCGTGGCGCCTATCTCGAACAGGTAAGTGAGCAGGGACACCATTACTGCCAGTAATGCAGCATCACCACTGATAGTCGTTGCCTAGCAATGTCATCAACAAGGTGATACTTGCTGTTATTGGTTGATGCCTTAACACTCTGACGGCTTTTTGGAACTGTCAGACAGTCGTAACATGTATTGCCATTATGCTTCTGGCTACACATCGGAATAATGTGTACTGTTTTGTTTAAAATCATGCAACAGATATTTCTGCTATACACATGTCGTCAAAAAAAGATGTTAATAATGTCTCCTAAGTTGAAGTTAATTTCTAATAGCAACTGTCAAATGTCGGAGCGCGCTATGTTGATTCAATAATTTAGGCAACAAGTCTTATAGCAACGGTGTTGTTGCGCGCATCTTGCCTGCGCAGTACAGTGGCGGGAGTGAGATCGCGCCTGCGTCACCGATGAAATGTGTCGCCGCGCGCGGCTCTAGTCGTCTAGAGTGTGGTAGAGGGCGTGGCTCCGGGTTCGTACGCGACTCCACGTCTGCGCAGTTGGGGTGCTCACGTTCGTATGCGGTATGGTCGATGCCATTGTGTATGCTCGCATCTAACGCGCATGTTGGGCAATGGCGGATTTTTGGGGTTGGCTGAGCCTTAAGCCCCTTTCATGTTACTTCCTTCTTGTAATAAGGGATATATTTATCATATCTCCTTCCCGCATTCACATTGTATACACTATATACTTGAGCAACTACCAAGCAACAAGCTTTCAACATTCAATATGACAAAATTTCTTTGGTGTTATCAAAACTTTTGGAGAATGATGGCTATTATTGGTATAAATTTGTTTGAAAAAAAATATATATATACAGGGTAGCCCAATAATGTGACAAAGTTCAATATCGCCCTTATTATAAAGATTTGAAAAGAAATGTTTTGTGGAAGTGATGTACTTAAAAAAATTCACATTTTAAAAATATTTTGAATTGTACAGGGTGATGCATTAGGGCAGAGCATCTTTAAGGTGGTTTTTCTTAAATGGAACACTATTTTTACAAATTTATATTCTACAGAAAATTCTCTTTCCACCGATGTCTTTTTTTTTTGTATTTGATGTGGTGAAGCCAAGTTATTTGAAAAAATAAGATAATCTTCGCTGGGACAAGGTTCTATAAATCTATCCACTGTGCAGGTACTATCAGTAATTCAGAAAAAATATTTTGTAGGCATGCGGACCAAAGATGTGGACAAACAACAAAATACCAAATTCTTTATAATTTTATACAGGGTGTTCCACACATAAGCTCTAGTTTAGCGAATTTCGAAGGATATTTTCTCGATTTTTTTAAATGAAACGCACAGTAAATTATTTTATTTTTGGATTAATATGTTAATTACTTACAACTTTCGTAAATAATACAAACACCGGGTGTTTCATTTAAAAAATTCCAGAAAATGTCCTTCAAAATTCGCTAAACTGGGGCTTATGTGTAGAACACCCTGTACAAAATTATAAAGATTTTTCTGTTTTGTTGTTTGTCCACATCTTTGGTCCGTATGGCAAGAAAATATTTTTTCTTAATTATTGGTAGTACCTGCACAGTGGATAAATTTACAGAACCCAGTCCCAGCGAAAATTATCTTATTTTTTCAAATACCACAGAATATAGTAATTTTAATACTATTTAACGAATCTTTAAGATTTTAATGTGTGTTTAAAATTTTATGGTAACATAAACTTAATTATACTGTAAATCATGATTATAAATAATTTTATATATAATTAATTAGTGTTGCATGCAATACTTGTTTATTATAATACTTTGCGGAAAACAATTCTATAGAAGTTAATGCCTTTTTAATTTAATATTAGACCATCGTCACTATCTCAACTCATAACATCTACCTCGTCTGTTTGTTAAAGAACTAAGTAAAAAATTTAATGTAAAAACTTTTGAAATGAGAAAATCTTGTAGGAA